GAAGGTCCCTCCCCAGAGGACTACTATGGACATTCTGGAGTGTCAGCTTCTGCCTGAGGCCAAGAAGTGCCCGAGTCTCTCCTCCCCGTTTCCACAGGCCCCTCCCCCATCCTCCTCTGAATATAGGAGAAGGCCACATGCCAGTCCGGGGGCTGTGGGCTGACACAGCACCTGAGTCCCCAAGGAGCCTCCTGACATGAGCCTGCTGGGGCATTCCAGAGATAGCCACAGAAAAGGTTTTTTCCCTTCCTCTTCTTTAAATGGAAGGGTTGGAGCCAAGATTTTGTCTGTTCCTGCAGAAGGGATCCAGGTGGAGCGGCTGTGGCCCGGAGGACATCCAGGACACCCGGGACACCCAGGGTCGAGGGAGGGTCTGCAAACGGCAGACAGGTCGTCCCTCTTCCTAGGCAGGAGATGGGGTGCCTGGAGGGGAGGTGGCGAGAGGGAAAGAGGAGAAACCAAGGGCTGTAGACGTCACTAAAAGTCTTTCTAGGTCCCCTCTGCATCCCTTGTCCACCCTGGACAGTCAGCTTGCTCCCCCCAGCCCCACAAACAAAACAAAAACAAAAACCAACAAGGAGAAGCGAAGCGGGAAGAGCATGAGAGCAGCAGAAGGGGGTGCCCAGCTCTGCGCCTCTCCAGCCGCGTCCCTTCCCTGTATCTGGAAATAACTGCAGGAAGGGCTGGTATCCACAGGCCCCTCAAAACATGTCACTTCTTTTCCCCGCTCAGGGGAGAGGAAGAGGCTGGGCCTGCCAGAGAAGGGTGGCCCCAGGGCTGGACAGACTGGACGTGGGCATGAAAGAGAAAGGGCTTCAGGCTGAGAAACGGCTTGTTTCTGTGTGAAGGGGGAGCTGGTGGGTAGTGGGGGAACCCTAGGACTGCTTTGGGCAGACTGAGGTTGAAGTGCTGGAGGCAGGAAATTCAGGCCTAGGGCTGGGAGAGGGCCAGTGCCAACTGCTCATTCATTTACCAGATAAGTGTGTCAGGCTCTACTGTAGGTGCTGGGGGTGACAGACAAGCCCTGCTCTTCTGCAGCAGACTGACAACAAATGGCCAAATGCACAACTGCAGACGGCTCTAACCAGTTTATTGGGGCATTTGAAATGACTTAATTTTTCCAGGTACTGCCCTCTACTAGGCAGGTCAGAGACCCCTTTCCCCACGGTGGGGGCTGTTCCCTTCCTGACATGAGGCCAGATTCTAAGCCTCTCTGTCCTCCAGGTTAGAATCTTCTCCTTCTAGGCTCTGTCCATTGAAACTCCAGTCTCCAGCTTGATTCTAAGCTCTTCTCCCTTCCCCCCACTCAGGACGAGCTAGGAAGCTCTAGTTGGGGGTGGGATGGTGAGTAGAGGCCTCCTCTTTATTCTCAGTTCCTCTGGTGTTGGGGTAGGTAGAGAGGAAGGGGCATGGGCTCCTGATGTGCCTGGGCCAGGGTGTCCCCAGAACCTCAGCTGCTGCCCTGCAGCTGCTCAGAGCCCGGCATGGGCAGCGCAGGTCCGAACTGCCTACCAACCCAAGGCTCACTCCAGCGGCTCCCCTGGGCACAGGGCCCCGTGCTCAGCAAGGCTCCACACTTGGTCACTGTCTTGAAATTCTGAATAATTGTTGGACCAGGGGCCTTCCATTTTTATTTCGCACTGGGACCCCTGCAAAGTATGAGGCCAGCCCTGTCTGCCCGGCATGTATATTGCAACAATGTGCAGCTGTTGGTGTCAGACCACGTAGCCCTTTGCTCCCTGCGCTTCAGGGGTCTCCAAAAGCCTGAAGCCACTGGTCTCATCCACACTTAGGGCCAACTCTTAGGCCTGTGGACACCCATGAGATCATCCTATGCAAATTCTTAGGGACTAGGAACTTCCAAGTGGGGGTGTGGGGACCCTCCCCACTCTGCAGTCCCCACCACACCATGGCTGCAGGAGTCCCTGTCTGGTCAGCAAGTCCTCGCTAAGCTGACCTCCAACTGGATGCTGAAATAAGAACCTCTCCCCTCTGCCTCCTATCAGCTGCCTTGATTCCTGATCAAGGCATTCGGGATTCCTCCTGGAAGCCCCTTCCTCCTTTCCCCCTGGACTGGGCAAGTGCAGGGAGGTGCAGAGGCAAGACGCTGTGCTGCTCCAAAGGCCCCTCTCCCTGTTCTTTTTTCTGCTCACTTGGGGGAGGGTCTGTGGGGATCGCATGGATTCTGACATGTGCCTGGCATCGAGACCCTCACTAGGGGGATGTCTGGGGCTGGTGCCCACTGAACTAGACTGTGGGAGATTGAGCCCCTTATGAGAGGCAAGAACCACTCGACTTCCCACAACATGGAAAAGATTTCTCTGAAGAAAATGCAAGAGGGTTATGTGGGGGACAGAACAGCCAGACGGCGGCCTGGGAGCTACCCCATCACATTCCAGCAGGAGGGGCAGACAAGGAACAAATGCGCCATGCACCGTAATGAACAGGTAATTTCACAAGATTTGGATTCAGATATGATTCTCAAGAGGTGACCCATGACCCAGATTTGGGGGTGGGGTATATACAGGGGAAAGGAGAGGAGAGGGCTCAGGACCAGCTGTGGGGACAGGAAATGGGCAGAGGGGCCAGAGAACAGTGGGACAGGGTTTGAGCAGAATTGCAATCCAAGCTGTACGGTCCCTGTTTTCTTTTTTCTTTTTTTTTTTTTTCCTTTTTGTCTTTTTCCGTGTCCGGCAACGGACCGCAACCCTCAGTGTCGCGCCCCTACCGGACTGGGACCGGCAACGGGATCGCAACCCTCGGTGCTGCGCCCGCCCCTCGCTCAGCCAGTGAGCAGGAACCGGTCTGTATGTGGGATCCGAACCCTCGGCGGGAGCACCACCACACTCCCAAGCGGCGCACTACAGCAGTGCGCCACCAGGCCGGCCCATGGTCCCTGTTTTCTTTTTTCTTTTTTTTTTTTTTTCTTTTTGTCTTTTTCCGTGTCCGGCAACGGACCGCAACCCTCAGTGTCGCGCCCCTACCGGACTGGGACCGGCAACGGGATCGCAACCCTCGGTGCTGCGCCCGCCCCTCGCTCAGCCAGTGAGCAGGAACCGGTCTGTATGTGGGATCCGAACCCTCGGCGGGAGCACCACCACACTCCCAAGCGGCGCACTACAGCAGTGCGCCACCAGGCCGGCCCATGGTCCCTGTTTTCTTTGGCAGTGGCTGGGTTCCTACCCTGAGGCGGCTTGGGGCAGACGCCACCGTAAGTAGAGACAACAGCTTTTGGTCCTACCGCTCCTGCCACCTCATGCCCAGAAGACCAGTGGAGGTGGAAGAGAGGTGGGAGGCGGGGCAGGAAGGCTCTGCACGGCCTGCTCTGGCCTGGCTCACCTGGCTTTGAGGGACTCGGGTGGGTGCTGCATGGTCAGAACATGCCCCCCTCAAAGGAATTCCCCAGGGAAAGTGTCCTGAGCTGCTTGGTCGTTTATCCCCTCAGTTGGGATGTAAGGACCTGCAGGGCAGAAGCTCAGAGGGCAGGTCGAAGCTGTTGGCCTCTCCGCCCAGACGCCTGTGAGGCTTCCCCACCCACCTCCTCTGCTCTCAGGATCCCCTACCTTGGTGGCTCTTACTTGGAACCACAGATAGTCTTCCTTTGGACACTTTCTCATGCCCTGTGTGCTAGGGGGTGGAGGACAAAGTTGAGCTAACACCCTCTCTGCCAAGAATTTGGAGATGAGGTATAAAAAGATACCGTGCAAGATGGGTACACACTCTGATACTTCCTGCAATTCCCTCACAACAATCCGTACACAGACGGTATTTCCATGGCATTCCTGAATCAGAGGCACTGTCTTTAGGAAGCACAGTGGGAACTGGTGAAGGGAGAAGCCACATAGTGGTGTGTCGGTAAATGTTGAACCACTGGCTGTCCAGGGGGTGAGAGCTCTGGTTCACAGCGTTTACTGGTTCCTGTGGTGTGCCCTGGGATCACCAGCATGAATTGGGGTGCCAGGGTATTTTGGGGGGCCCCAGGGCATTCTTCAGGGCAGAAGGGAACCACCCTGCCTGAGGTGACTCAATCCCAGGAGAGCTGCCCATTTGTGGCCCTTCCCGTGAGACTCCAGAAGACTCCCTCCTGCCAGATCAGGGTCACAGCAACTGAGAACAATGCTGGACAGGCGAGCGGGCACTGTGCAGGGACAGGGGGTCTGGGAGCGCGTCAGAAGCTGCTGGGGCCTGTCCTCCCCGAACTGGGCCACTGTGGGCCTTTCATCTCCCGCCCTGCTCTCTGGGCCACTCCAGCGTCCGCCTGCCTTTGCCTCTTCCCACCCCACTACCCCCAGTGCGGCAATTACGGCGCTAATTAGGATGCTTTGATCATCTTTAGAAATGGCCACATTGCGGAGGGACGCTGCCAAGCAATTAGGGGCAGAGGGGCCGGGAGCTCAGGGGCTTCCTCCGGGGGTGGGGATGCCAAGAACCCCCGGACACCCCCTTCCCTCCTCCCTCCAGGAGTGTCTGCCCCCAGCACAGCTGAAGCTCCTCAGAGAGTAGAGGCACATGGGGATGCCCCCCCCATCTCAGCCCCAGCGACAGGGCCAGCCCCTGCCCACCAGTCCCCCTCTGCCTGGCCCCTGGCCCAACCGTCAGTTCTTCTCCCCTGTCTTGGCCCCTTTGATGGAGCCGCAGAAACAAGGGCTCTTTTGACAGAAGGGGGGCTCAGAGCTGGGACGATGAGACTTCAAAGGTGAGGGTCGAGCCCACTACCCCACTCCCTCCCCCAATCCTGGCCGCCCTCCCAAGCACCCCCACCCCAGTCTGTGCTGTATATAGCCCTGTGGGCTCCTAGGAGTTAAGGGCCAGGTGAGGGGCGGACCAAGGGAAGTGGGTAATTTTGATGTAAGAGAACAGGGTCAGATGATTTGAGGGACAAAAATTCAGTGCCCAGGGGCAGAAAGGCAGCGGGAAGCGGGCACCAAGGGGTAAGCGCCTGCAGGGTGGACCCCGAGGAGGACAGAGGACAGGGTCTCTTGCCCCAGCTCCTGGTCACCATGCTGCTGACTGTGCTGCTGCTGCTGCTGCCCCTCCCAGACACATGGCCCGCTCATGGGCACCCACTATACATGCGCCTGCCCCCCAGCACCCTGCAAGGTGAGCCCGGGCTGGTCCAAGGGAGCGGCGGAGGCGGGAGGGACACAGAGGAAGTGAGGTCCCTGGTGGGGGAAGATGAGCTTGTCACCCCCACTCATAAGGACCTTTAACCTCTTCTGCCCACCCTGGTGGGAGAAGGGGCCAGGAATTGAGGTTCAGGTAGGAGATAAAGGGGAAAGAAAGGCTGGAAAGAGGAGAACTGGAAGGTCTGCCAAAGGGCATTTAGTGAAGTTTCCAGACTTAGCAGGGAGGAAAAGACCCAGAGCAGCATGCCCTTGTCTGGCTGGACCCCAAGCGGGCAACTCAACCACAGTCACTTTACGTCAATAAGCCTGAGTTCTGTGATGTCTGTATCTTTGGAGTGCTGTTTTTCCTTTAATGTTTAAGAAAAAGGCGCTTTTCAAAGGTTCCAGCCCAGCTCAGTTAATTAGAGATATCTCGGGCTGAGGTTCTGGGACCATCTGCTCTGAGTGCTGGACCCAGGAGCCCTGGGGCTCTCTCCTCCCCATTCTGCCCCAGTGCCCTGGGAGCCCAGCCTGCTTCCCTGTGGGTTTCCCAAGGCAGGGCTCAAGGCTGGGGCCAGGATGACTGGACTGAGGCTCTTGCCCAATCATTCATAATTTTGTGCCCCATGCCCCGCAGTTCTGTCGGCCCAGGGGACGCAGGCATTGCAAGCTGCCCAGAGGAGCGCCCAGTGGGCAGTAAAGCGTGTGGTGATGGAGATCCAGCACAGACTGCATGAGTGTCGAGGTTGTGCCAATTATGTCACCCCATGCCCCAGTGAACTTGCACTCACAACCCTGGGCCCTTTCTCCTGTCCTCCTCCACCCCCTCCCTTCCAACTTGACTCCCTTCTGGTGGGCAGAGGCTGGGTGGGGCTGCAACCAAAGCAATGCTGATGAAGATCCCTCCGAGTAGAAAGGGCATGCCAGGCCTGGGGCACAGCATGGGCAAAGAGGGGTGGCAGGAGCAGTCTGGGCTCCCGTGGTGAACAGTGAGTTCATCCTGCTGAACTAGCACCTATGTGCTAGGGGGAGGGGTACAAGGGGAGAGAAGCCCAGCCTGGGGTGGAGGACCGGCAAGAGGATGGCAGTGAGACTCAAGGGTGTGTTTCTCAGCAGGACCTGGGCATCCCAGGCCTCAAGCCCCACTCCTCCAGGACCCACCTGAGTCAGGTGAGGCTGAAAAGTCTGAGGGGGCAGGGCTGAGAGCAGGGTGGGACTCGATGGTGAGGACGGCCAGAATTTGTCCCTCATGACACCACTTGCGCCTTTCTAGGGCCGTGTGGCGAGAGGCGCCCAGGCACTACCAACGTGACACGGGCCCACGGCCGCATAGTGGGGGGCAGCGCCGCACCCCCTGGGGCCTGGCCCTGGCTGGTGAGGCTACAGCTCGGGGGGCAGCCTCTGTGTGGCGGCGTCCTGGTGGCGGCGTCCTGGGTACTCACCGCGGCGCACTGCTTTGCCGGGTATGTCGGGCCCCCAGGTCCCTGCCCACTGGGTCCCCACTGCCGGGTCCAGCACCTTCGGAGTGGTCAGATGGTCGACGCGCTGGACAGCCGGTCTCTGCTGCCCTCTGGCGGCGGAAGGCCCCGCGCTCCCTGGTCTCAAGTCGCCCGCCCCCGCCCACCCAGGGTGCGGACCCCTGGGGTATGAGCCCACTCTGTGGGGAGAGACCTCCCCGGCCCACCCGCCCTGCCTCCCAGGCAGAGAAACAACCTGCTGTGCGGGATCGCGGCGTGGTGCCAGGAGGCGCAGGGCAGGGTTTCCAGGGGGCCTCGGTGCACCCCTGACCTTCCTATCAGCCCCTCTCCGCCCCACCCCCCACCAGCGCCCAGAATGAGCTTCTGTGGACTGTGACGCTGGCCGAAGGGCTCCAAGGGGACCAAGCGGAGGAGGTGCCGGTGAACCGCATCTTGCCCCACCCCAAGGTGAGAGGGCACCTCCAGACCCTGGGGGCTGGGAACAGCAACCCCACCCCTGCCTCGTTGACCTGGCGCCGCCGCCCCCTCCCCAGTTTGACCCGCGGACCTTCCACAACGACTTGGCCCTGGTGCAGCTGTGGACGCCGGTGAGCCCGGCAGGACCGGCGCGCCCCGTGTGTCTGCCCCAGGGGCCCCGGGAGCCCCCCGCTGGCACCGCCTGCGCCATCGCGGGCTGGGGGGCCCTCTTCGAAGGTACTGGACGGGGCAGGGCCTGGGTGAGCCGAGCGCCTGCGTGGGAAGAATGGGGGGCGAGACGATAGAGTTTGGGGAAGCCGGGCTGTGAGAAATCCGGCCTGCTTCAGCTGCCTTCGCGAAATGCTGCCCGATCTTGCAAAGGGGGAGGATTCAGGAAGGCGTGGAGAGGGACCCTCAAAGCGGGGCTCCTGCCACCCAGACTTGAGCCCCTTCTATCGCTTTCCTGCAGACGGGCCAGAGGCTGAGGCGGTGAGGGAGGCCCGCGTCCCCCTGCTCAGCGACGACACCTGCCAAAGGGCTCTGGGGCCTGGGCTGCACCCCAGCACCATGCTCTGTGCCGGTTACCTGGCGGGGGGCATCGACTCGTGCCAGGTGAGATCCCATACTGATGGGAGGGCGCTGGCTGGTAGCTGCCCAGAAGCAGGACGGCCTCCTTTCCTTTTACGGTCAGGCTGTCGCTCAACTTCACTGAGCCTCTACGTCCTCGTCGCTAAAATGGGTCCGAGTGGTAACCACCGAAGAGCTCAGAGATTCCTTAACTTACCCTGCCAGGTGTAAGGCAGGCAGGAGAGGGGGACGGGAGGATTCAGTGACCTCTCTCTTGGCTCTGGTCCCCGCAGGGTGACTCTGGAGGCCCCCTGACCTGTTCCGAGTCTGGCCCCCGCCCCAGAGAGGTCCTGTTCGGCGTCACCTCCTGGGGGGACGGCTGCGGCGAGCCAGGGAAGCCCGGGGTCTACACCCGCGTGGCCGTGTTCAAGGACTGGCTCCGGGAGCAGATGAGCGGTGAGAGCCTCCTTCCAATCCCCCCCTCCCCAGAGTGTCCCTGCAGACAGCCCTGGGACAAGCCCGCTTCGCCCGCACCCCCAGCTTTCTTCTCCGTGGGTTAAACCTGTCTCCTTCAGGGGAAGGGCTGCGGGGGCTAGGGACCCAAACAGGGAGTGAGCTGTCCCCTGCCCCGCTCGCAGCGGCCCCCTCCAGCCGCGAGCCCAGCTGCAGGGAGCTTCTGGCTTGGGAACCGCCCAAGGAGCAGCTGGCACACGCCGCCCAACCCTGCGCCTTCTACGCGCGCCTGTGCCCAGGGTCCGAGGGCGCCTGTGCGCTCCTGGCGCACCAGCAGTGTCTGCAGCGCCGGCGGCGATGCGGTCAGTCCCTTCTCCAGGGGGGGGGCGGGGGGGAGGAAGCCTGGCCCGCTTCTCACCGCCACTGGGAACCTTGTCCCGCCCGCAGAGCTGCGCTCGCTGGCGCACCTGCTGCTGGGCCTGCTGCGGGGCGCCCAGGATCTGCTCGCCCCGCGCCCGGGTCTCCGGCGCCTGGTCCCCGCCCTGGTTCGCCCCGCTCCGTCGCTCCGGGAGCCTCCCGGGCACACTGCCCGGGAGCAGCGGCTGCACTCAGGTACCCCACGCCCTCCAGCCCAGCCCCTGGCCCGATCCCGGCCCCGGCCCCAGCCCTGCGCTGCGGAGCCAGCTTTCTGCTGCCGACGCGCTCCTCTGACCCCGCGCCTCCCCAGGATCGTGGGCTGCAGGCGCGCGCTTCCCGAAGCGGAGGCCAGAGCAGCGCGGGGAGACGAACGGTAATGACGCCCTCTGCCGGCTGCGGGGAGAGAGTAGGCCCAGGGGCTGGCAGAGGCCTGGAGTGGGGGGGACTGCGCTGGGGAGCAGTTAACCCAGGAGGAACGGGCAGGACCGCTCTCTCCCTCTTCCAAGTGAGGCAGTTGAGGCTCTGAGGGGACTTGCGGCTTTGGGCCCTCATCAGTGTCAAACAAAGATACTCTGCCTTGTGTGATCGCTTAACCTCTGTGAGCCTCAGTTTCCCCATCTGTAGGATAAGGAGGATAAATGTGCCCATTGGGAGGCCGACCTGAGATACTGGTGGGAGTCCCTCTCCAGCTCCACACCCTGTCAGTTTTCTGCTATTCCTGGGACCTTTCCCCTTCCTGCAGTCTGCCCTGGGCTGGATCCCCTCCGACAAAGGTTGGCAGCCCTTCAGGAGGCCCATGCCTGGATCCTGCAGGTCCCCTCTGAGCACCTGGCCATGAACTTTCACGAGGTAGGTCCCCAGGCTCCCCAGACTCCTTCACAGTGGCCTTCGAAGGCTGACCTTGCTGGGGTCCAGGCCAGAGAAGGTGCAGAGGTCCAGCCCTCGTGGGCGGGGAGAGAGGGGACACCTACCCCACAGCAGGAGAGAGGACCTCCCCCACCCCCAGCAGCCTGGGTTGACTCTGCTCCAGCTCTGGGGTGGAGGTGGGGGGTGGGGTGGAGAGGTGTCAGTGTAGGGGCTCATGGGGGTGTCCAAGTGAGCAGGAAATGAGCAGGGCTGGGATGAGGGGAGGAGAGGGGCCTGGGTCTAGGTGAGAGTTTCTGGGGTCCAGGAAGAGAGGGGGTGACCTCCAGGACTCCCACTCAGGAGTGGGTTTCTGGGCCCCTGACCCCCCTCCTCCCTTGTAGGTCCTGGCAGATCTGGGCTCCAAGACACTGACTGGACTCTTCAGAGCCTGGGTGCGGGCAGGCTTGGGAGACCGGCGTGTGGTCTTCAGTGGCCTGGTGGGCCTGGAGCAGGCCACTCTGGCTCGCAGCCTCCCCCGGCTGCTGGTGCAGGCTCTGCAGGCCTTCCGCTTGGCCACCCTGACAAAGGGAGAACCTGAGGGGCCCCGGGTGGGTGTGGGCCAGGGCCCAGGGCTGGGGAGGAAGGGACATCCCCCACTCAGCCCTCAGGCTCCCCTAGCCAGGCAGCCATGAGCCATGTCAGGGCCCTTGGTGTGGACCTACTGCTCCCAGGGACTAAGAGGGGTTCAGGGAGCATGATGACAAGCTGCCACAGCTGGCTGGATGTGTGTGGGTGGGGTAGGGGTCCTGGCCTGTGTGTCTTCCCAGGTGTGTGATCAGGGAATCACAGCTGCTTTAATAAATGTTATTTATAATCTACAGAGTCGATTCTGGAGCTTTCTTGGGTGCGGATCTGGTGGGATTTCATGGGGTGGGGCCCAGGCAGAGCCCCGTCTCTGGAAGCAGCTGGCAGAGGTCACAGAGAAGCTGGGGAGGGGCTGCTAAGCCCTCATCTGAGTATATCTCTGCCTCTCATCCCGCGCCACCCGTGGCCAGCTACCACTGCCCCCAATGTCAGTGTCTCCACCCTGCCTCCACCCTCACCACTAGTGCAGTTAGTCCCAGCCCGGAATCTTTGCCTCATGTCCTTGGGCTCCTGCTCTGGCTGGACAGTCCCCACCCCCTCGTCGAGGTGTCAGATTGCGTTTCCGGCTGCCTCTTTCCTTTGCCCCCCACCCCCACCCAGCACCTGTCCCCTCTCCCGCCCACCCTCATTCCACAGCCCTGCAGTAGGAGGGGCAGACACAAGATGCAGTCAGAGGGACAGGATGGAGGGGACTGTGCTGACGCTGGGGCTGCTGGCCACCTTTGTCATTTGTGGTAAGGGTAGACATCACCCCCACCTCTCATGACGCCTACCCGGGCCCCCCACTGCACGACTCCCTGCTGCTCTTTCCTACGTGATGCTCCCTCCCCAGAATCATGCCCAACTCCCCACTCCCGCGCTGCCATTCCTCACTGTGAGGGCCCGACCTCCAGGCTCCCCACTCAGGGCTGCTTCCTTCCTGGGTCCCCTGCCCAAGGCCCTGTTCCAGTCCCCAATCCTCCCCAGGCAGCTGGGGCCTGAACGAGGAGGAGCGGCTGATCCGGCACCTGTTCCACGAGAAGGGCTACAGCAAGGAGCTCCGGCCCGTGGCACACAAAGAGGAGAGCGTGGAAGTCTCGCTGGCCCTCACCCTCTCCAACCTCATCTCTCTGGTGAGAGGCCTCTTCCGTGGGGGACTGGGGAGGGAGGGCAGGAACTGCTTCTCCGGGACCAGACCGGACCAGATGGCATGGAGGAAGCTCGAGGCCCCAGACCAGCCTATGTAGCTCCCTCCCCGGGAAACATGCTCGGGCCACCCGCCATGTCCTGCGTGCCCACAGGCCTCCTGCCCTCCAAGGCTGGCACCCCCTCCCCTCCAGCTTCAGCTCTAGGGGATGCCCCCCCATTGCACACTCCATATGACATGCCAAACGCATGATACACTTCAGAGGCCATTTGCCCTCTGGCCCCTGGTCTGCCCACCCACTCCTGTCTGTGAGTGCTCGGGGCAAGAGGCTGGTCGGCTTCGTTGCCATGGTTTCCCCTGGGTGCCAGTTGGGAGTAGGTGTCTGGTAAATGAGTGCCAGTGACAGAACAATGTAGGCTCCCGGAGGACACCACGCCTGTCTGATTACAGAAAGAAGTCGAGGAGACCCTCACCACCAACGTGTGGATAGAACACGTAAGAACACCCCACACAGAGCCGGAGTAGGGTGCAGGGCTCAGGCTCCCGTGTGCTCACTTCCACTTGGGGATCCCCAGCCTGCCTTGGACACTGTCCTCCAGGAGAGGTTGGCTCCTCTCTACAAAAAAAACCCCAGGCCCGACTGCCCTTCCCCTGACCTAGTGCCCCTGCCAGCCCTGATGGCGCCTTCTAGTGGATTAGGATACACCACGGTTATGTACAATCGATTGTTTCAAAAAAAAAAAAATTGTCTGTGGGAAAATTGTGACTGTATCCTGATTTTTATTAGAAGACACTCTTCTGCCACTTGTCAGAAGTTTGTAATACAGACACAAATCTTCTATGTCCACAATGGAAATAATGCTCCCTCAGTTGTGCAGGGTACACGCTGCAGAGCTGTCATGACAGACCTGAGTCCCCACTCTGTGCCTGCCTCCTCCAGTCCTCTTTTGTCACAGCTCCCAGACCCTGTTCAGCCTTCCCCAAGGAAAGTCGGGGGGCGGGGGGAGCCTGGACAGCAGCAGAGCCCACTGCTGACATGCCTTTCGGGCTTCCAGGGCTGGACAGACAGCCGTCTGAAGTGGGACGCCAATGAATTTGGGAACATCAGCGTCCTGCGCCTGCCCCCCGACATGCTGTGGCTCCCAGAGATCGTGCTGGAGAACAAGCTGAGCCGAGCCCCCCATCCTCTACCCCTTCCTCACGCTTCCTCAGCCTCCTCCTCCAGCCCCCAGCTCCTGCCCGCCCTTCCTCCTCTGCTTCCCCTGACCCTGTCAGTTCTCAGCTGGCCAGTACTCACTATGGCCCTTGTCCCTGTCCCCCAGCAATGACGGCTCCTTCCAGATTTCCTACTCCTGCAACGTGCTCGTCTATGACTCGGGCTACGTGTACTGGCTGCCGCCTGCCATCTTCCGCTCCTCCTGTCCCATCTCTGTCACCTACTTCCCCTTCGACTGGCAGAACTGCTCCCTCAAGTTCAGGTGCACCCACTTCTCCAGCCACCCCTCACCCCAGGCCACCCTGCGGGGGGCTGGAGGAGAAGAACAAGGCCCCTCCAGCAGAGGCCCTCTGCCCCGTCCTATCAGAGCCCCCTCCCCCAGCGGCCTTCCTCTCCTAGCCCTTCCCCCAGACCCCCGCCAGTGGCCGAGGGTCACCCTGTGCCCACTGCCCTCCCCAGTTCGCTCAAGTACACGGCCAAGGAGATCACCCTGAGCCTGAAGCAGGAAAAGGAACAGGGCCGCCCCTACCCCGTGGAGTGGATCATCATCGACCCTGAGGGCTTCACAGGTACTTGGAGCAGCCGCAGGTGGCAGGCAGGCCCCTCAGACACACATCCACGATACACACGAACAGTCACACCGACACCTCCCATCCCCGGAGATGCACGCGTGTGCACACACACCTCGGACGCCAGCACACGGGTACACATGCACAGATAACACAACAGGCCTCCCGTGTCTGCCCACACAGAAACACACAGACACTCACACTAACTGAGGCAGAGACAGCACGGTGCCAGTGTCCCCAACCCCCCAGGCCAGGAGACTCTTCTGGGTCTGGGCAGGAGTCCCCGGGGATGGATGCGGCTGAGGGTGGTTAGTGTTTTGGTGCCTGGAGCGCCCAGGGGTGTGGCTGGGGTGTGGGCTGTGTCATGCTGATAGGGTGCATGTCATCCCCTCCCATATGCCCTGACGCCCTGTCCGTCAGAAGAGACCCCTGTCCTGCTGGTCTCAGGGCTGACACACCATGGCCAAGGCGTGGTGCTGCTCTTGCTGGCTCGTTATACCCAAGACCCAGCCGAATGGGAGCAGCCTGATTAGGGCGACTTCGCTTTTCTTTTTCTCTTAGGAAGACAAGCTCAATAACTGAATGTCTTTTTTTTTACTGTCTCTTTAATCTGTAAATACCTATTTTTGGCTCACGATGTATTTTGATCCAAAACATACTCCTCATTTGAACCTTGTATGGCCTGTATGGCCTCAGCTTCTATTTTTTCCAAGGAGATTAAAAAAAAAAATCAATCACAGAGGAAAGTGTCCCCCTCACAGACTGAAACTTGCATCCCAACCCTCAGGGACACAGCACCTGAGCCTCCCCGGGGCCGCCCACCACTTTAGGTTCTGTCCTGGGGTCCTCCTTAGCCCCCAGCCGCTCTTTCTCAGCCCAACCCCAAGTGTCCATGTGTCGTCCTCAGAAAACGGGGAGTGGGAGATAGTGCACCGGCCGGCCAGGGTCAACGTGGACCCCCACGCCCCGCTGGACAGCCCCAGCCGCCAGGACGTCACCTTCTACCTCATCATCCGCCGCAAGCCTCTCTTCTACATCATCAACATCCTGGTGCCCTGCGTGCTCATCTCCTTCATGGTCAACCTGGTCTTCTACCTGCCAGCCGACAGTGAGCCTCGGCAGCACCAGTCCCTCGCCCAGCCGCCTCTTCCCCTCCCCTGAGGCCACCTGCCCCTCACTTCCTCCGGGAGCTGCATGGGTCACCACTCCTGGAGCTCCCTGCCCAGGATCTAGGCCTGCCTGAGGACCAGGGGGCCAGCCAAGAGGAGGGCTCTGTGACACTGTCCACCCCCCCAAGTGGACAGGGCAGGTTGCCTCCTGGACACTACTTCTGCCTCTCCCAGTGGGCTTCCCAGAGGCCCTAGGGAGAACTGCTAGACTGTCCCTCTGTCGGGGCAGAGACTGGGTCTGTCATGGTCACCACTATGTGGCCATGGCCCTGGCACACAGGAGGCCATTAAGCCATTGAGCCAGTGGGTGAATAATGTGGTGTCCAGGAAGCCAGGGCGTAGGGGCAGAAAAGTAATCTCCACTCTTGGCTCCAGGAGGCAACAATTTTACAATTTCAGAATATTTATTATAAGCAGGACACAGTGAGTCCCAGGGACAAAGGGGACCCAGTCCCTGCCCCTGGCAGACAAGGTAGAAACCATAGGACGAGGCGGGTGGCCTGGGGCGGGGTGGGGGCCATTCTAGGTGCAGTGGGGCTGGGGGGGTTCCTGGAGGAGGCGGAGCTCGAGCCAGACTGTGAAGCGGGTGTGCGGCTGTGTTAGGCCGTGAAGAGCAGCCGTGCAGATGAGGAGGGGTCGGGGCAGGGGCAGGTGGGACCCGAGTGGGGGAGCCCCCTCAGCCCCGCCATCGCACACAGGAGCTCAGGTGGGCAGAGGAGGGCAGCGCCAGGCTGGGGCCTCTGAGTGAAGGGCTGAGAGTTGGGGTGTCATCCTCGTGCTATAAGGACACCTGGGAGCTTTCTGAGAAGGGGAGTGACACCCAGATCTGAGCTTCAGAAGGAGGGTTGAATAGCAGGGGGTGGGCTAATGGTGGTGGCTGGTGTTTGTTGAGCACTTACCCAGTGCCAAGCAGAGTGACGTGTGTTTAACACACTCTCACAACACTTAACAGTTGAGAAAGTGAGGTACAGAGAGGTTAGGCTACTAGTCCAAGGTCACCCAGCTAGTAAGCGGCAGAGCCAGGATTTGAACCCGGGGACTCTAGTTCCATAACCCATGATTTTCATCAGGGCACTGTGGCACCATGAACAGTGGTGGCAGGGGCTGCAGTGGGACTCTCTGGGCCTGGGGCCCAAAATCACAGTTAAGTCTGGCTTCCCCAGGTGGTGAGAAGACGTCAGTGGCCATCTCGGTGCTCCTGGCCCAGTCTGTCTTCTTGCTGCTCATCTCCAAGCGGCTGCCTGCCACGTCCATGGCCATCCCCCTCATCGGCAAGTGAGTGACGCCCACACCCAGCCCTGCTCCACTCACCTGTCCTGGCCCTGGGGGCTCCAGGCTGAGTGTGTGCCTGCAGGTTCCTGCTCTTTGGCATGGTGCTGGTCACCATGGTCGTGGTGATCTGTGTCATCGTGCTCAACATACACTTCCGAACACCCAGCACCCACGTGCTGTCCGAGGGCGTCAAGAAGGTGAGCACTCTCGATCCCCAAATGCTGGAAATTGTCCAGAGGCCACCTACAGGAGGACAAGTGAAGACACTGGGCATACTCGGCAGGGGAATACCACCAGGCAGTGCAAAGGCACCAGGTGCTGCTGCATGCCAGCACGGATACCCTTCCCAACACAATGTTGCATGCAAGAAGCCACACACCAGACTGCACAGACTGCAGGGTTTTCTTTCTATGAAATGCAAGAACAGGAAAAACCAGTCATTGGTGACAGAAGTCAGGATGGTGGCTACCTCTGTGGGTGGGTAGGAACTGCGGGGGGAGGCCTGAGAACCCTTTCAAGATAACGTTCACTACCTTATCTGGTTGGTGACTACACAGTTGTATGCATCTGTAAAAATTCACCTTCTGCACGCCTAAGATTTGCTCCTTCTACCTCGGTTTATAGGAAGAAGATGAGGACCGAGGTGGCAGGGTGCTCGGGAGGGCCAGCTGACTGTTCTGGGCTGCCTGAGAGTAGCTTAGCAACTCTTTTTGTCTTTAAGCATTTGAGTGGGGAGAGTTCAACATTTTGGGCATTCATCTTACTTTTTTGTTTTTAATATTCATTTTCAGTGAATGAGTTCTGCTTTGTGCTGAGTAATGAGGGAGAGTTGGAAGTAACCTAAGTGTCCATCAGTAGCAGATCAGGGGAATAAATGACAGGGTCAGACTGGGAAGCACTGTGTGGCAGCCAGGAATGGAGTCACACACATCAGGATGTGCAAGAGTCACCTCGTGTTTGTAAAATGGCCTTTCTTGTGTCTCCTTGACCCTGCCAAAGCTCTTTCTGGAGACTCTGCCCAAGATCCTGCACATGTCCCGCCCGGCAGAGGATGGACCCAGCCCTGGGGCCCTGGTCCGGAGGAGCAGCTCCCTGGGCTACATGTCCAAGGCTGAGGAATACTTCTTGCTTAAGTCACGCAGTGACCTCATGTTTGAGAAGCAGTCAGAGCGGCATGGGCTGGCCCGACGCCTCACCACTGCACGTGGGTCTCTGGTGGCCTTGGTGTTGACCCATCTGTGGGAGGTGGGGGGAGGCAGGCCTCATACCCTGCTCTGGCCCCGTGTCCACAGGCCGGCCTTCAGCAAGCTCTGAGCAGGCCCAGCAGGAACTCTTCAGCGAGCTAAAGCCGGCTGTGGATGGGGCAAATTTCATCGTTAACCACATGAGGGACCAGAACAATTACAATGAGGTAAGTGGCCACAGGGTTGCCACGTGCAGGTGTTCAGGTAGTGCACTGACCAAGTGTATCCTGTCTTCAGGGCTCAAGGTTCCACTCCGTTTTAGTCCGTTTTGTGTTGCTATAACAGAATTGCCTGAGACTGGGTAATTTATAAAGAAGAGAGGTTTATTTGGCTTACGATTCTGGGACAGCTGCGTCTGGCATGAGCCTCAGGCTGCTTCTACTCATGGCGGAAAGTGGCAGGCTGCCGGTGGGTACGAGCAGATCACATGGCGAGAGGAAGCAAGAGAGAGAGAGAGAGAAGGTGCCAGGGTCTCTTTAAGCAACAAGCTCTCAACAAGGGAACTAACAGAGCGAGAACTCACTCATTACTCCCCCCGCCCCCAGGGAGAGCATTAATCCATTCATGAGGGATCCGCCCCCATGACTCAATTAGTTTCCAGCACTGCCACATTGGAGATCAAATTTCCACGTGAGTTTTGTAGGGGACAACACATCCAAACTCCATCACCCTCAGAGACACAAAACAGTTTAGATGAGGGAGTTCATGGTGAGTGCAGATTCCAGGCCCTCAGAGAGGAAGGACTCCTGCCTCGTACTGCACAGCAGCACACCAGCCAGGCACACAGCCCCATCCTGTGCAGGCCACACTCAGCATCCTTAGGGCCCCTTCTTTCTCCCAGCTGGCAATCTTTTTCTCTCCCTGCTCAACTCCAAGCCTGATGCTCCAGAAAGAGTCAGACATTTAAAAGGTAGCCATAGGTGGTTGTTCAATATTATACAATTTTTTAAAATTCTCTCTTGAGAAAGGGGTACCTTTTTCCAGTTCACATATGGGCTAGCAGTGGTCCTGAGTGGCTGGGAAGGGTGAGAGAGAGGAGAGGGGCCTGTGTCCCTTCCTCAGCCCCCAGCTCCTCTCCAGCTCCTGGAACCCTACCTCCCAGACCGACAGAGTGACCAGCCCTGTCTGTAGCCAGAGGGTTTGTGCTCTTCCTGGGGATATGCCTGCACACCTTGTCTGCTCTGAGCAGGAGGTGGCCACCACAGACCCACCAAGGCCATGGTTCCATCACTGAGCCCTGGCTAGGGATGCGGGTCTATGGTCTGAGGGCCCTCCTTAAACACTCTCTGTGCTCCCACCCCCAGGAGAAGGACAGCTGGAACCGTGTGGCACGCACAGTGGACCGCCTCTGCCTGTTTGTGGTGACACCCATCATGGTGATGGGCACGGCCTGGATCTTTCTGCAGGGCATCTACAACCAGCCCCCACCTCAGCCTTTCCCTGGAGATCCCTACTCTTACCAAGTGCAGGACAAGCGCTTCATCTAGGGTGGGCTGCAGGGGTAGCCAGGCAGACAGCAGGGTCTAAGAGAGGAGCAGCTCTCCCTAGGAGGGCCAGCTCCTGGCCTGAGGCTTGTGCCCTGTGGGTCCTGCAAGGCTTGGGGTGGAGACGCAGGAAGTGAAGGGGCAGCCCCAGTCCTCAGTAGCAGTTCCTTTGCAAATAAAGACAGGAGCCACCCAGGATGGTCTGAGAGAGGTCGTCGGCTGGAAGAGATGGGCAGGACGATGTGAGGGAGGCAGGAGGCTGGCTCAGGGGCCAGGGAGGATGCCACACAGGCTGGCCTCATGGGGAGAGCTCTGTGAGGGATCAGACAGAGGCCTCTTCTCTGCCTCCCCCTCCCCCCTAGGTGGGGGTAGAGAAGGCAGGATTTTGTGCCTTCACTTCCTGGCTCCTCCAGCCACCCTCAACCTCGGGCTTCTGAAGCCTCACCTGGAGCTGAGGTTGGGGACGCCTCTCTCCAGGCCCCTTAGGGAAGAAGGTATTCTGCAGGGGTGGGAGCACCAGGGTTCCAGAATGTCCTTTCCCAGCCCTGTCTGTCTCGGCCACTGTGTGTCTGAGTCCATCTGCAAAGCTGAGGACTGGCGTGGAAGGGTCGGGCTCAGCCTGAGGTCACACACACAATCCCAGAGCACCAGAACTCAGCCTCTACCCTCCGGAGTGCTCCATCACCCACCCCCACTCCTCCTCCCCAAAGTAGGGTTGCCATGCAATATTTTGGACATACTTATACTTAAAAAGTATTCATTGTTTATCTAAAATTCTAATTTAACAGGCATCCTATATATTTTTTTGCTAAATCTGGCAACTCTACCCCAAGGGGAGCCCCCACTCAATCCTATCCTGAGGGCCAAAGGCCGAGGCCGCAGGAGCTGTGGCAGCCTACTTCCAAGGTGGCCTCAGCGATCCCACCTCCTGGTGTTTGTGCCCTTGTGCAGACCCCTCCCACGGTACCAGGGCTGGTCTGTGTAACCAATAGAATGAGGCAGAAGTGATGGCTTATTGCTTCCGAGATTAGGTTATAAAGGACACTGTGGCTCCTGTTTCCCTCACTCATTCTCACTCTTGCATCAATGGATCTCTCTGGGGGGAAGCCAGCTGGTGTTTCAGAGAGGCCCATGTGGCAAGGAACTGGGCCTCCCTCCAACAGCCCCATGAGTGAACTTGGAAGTGGGTCCTCCAGCCCCAGTGGGGCTTTCAGATGAGCTTGCAGCCCCAGTATGTGTCTTGTCTGCAACTCCATCAAAGTCCCTGAGCCAGAACCCCCAGCTGAGCTGCTCCTGGATTCCTGACCCTTAGAAACTGTGTGATTTTAGACATTTGCTGTTCTAAGCTGCAAAGTTTTGGGGTAGTTTGTGATACTAGCAGTGTGACCTTGGCTGAGCCACTCCTCACCTCTCAGCTTCAGTTTTCTCATCTGTAAAACATGTGTCGAAGAAGTCCTACTCATGAGGTGTTGTGAAAATGGAATTTGCTAGTAGGAGTAAAGGTACTTACATATGTCCTACAATTTTAAGGGGTGGTTATTTAACCCATTCCTCATTTGTGGGCCTGGGTCATGGAGAAGGGTCTCTGGGGGCCCCTGTGGGGGACTTGCACTGAGGTCTTCTGCATCCAAGCCTGGCATGGTGACTGAGAGAGAATTGGAACAAGGCACAGAGGGCACAATTAGTCACCTCCTGGATGTACAGGCTTAAGGGCTTCACAGCTCAACCCATTTCCTTCAGAGGGAATCAGTGACCTTGTTAGCTCAGATATACAGAAGATGAGATTTATAATCTTTAGATGTAGCCAAATGAAAAAGAAACATTTAAAACCAAAATTGACCCTAGTCACTGCCTTCCAGGATGAACTGTCCGCAAATTCAAGGTAGAAATCTTTAATTTTCCCTTCTTTTTTTTTTTTTTTTTTGTCTTTTTCCGTGTCCGGCAACGGTTCGCAACCCTCAGTGTCACGCCTGTACCGGACCGGGACCGGCAACGGGATCGCAACCCTCGGCGCTGCCCCCGCGCCTCGCTCAGCCAGTGAGCGGGAACCGGTCTGTATGTGGGATCCGAACCCTCGACGGGAGCGCCGCCGCGCTTCCCAAGCGGCGCACTAGCGCAGTGCGCCACCGGGCCGGCCCATAATTTTCCCTTCTTTTTTTTTTTTTTTTTTTTTGTCTTTTTCCGTGTCCGGCAACGGTTCGCAACCCTCAGTGTCACGCCTGTACCGGACCGGGACC